TAATTCTAAGGAATGTGATTTTAAACAAAGATGTAAGATAAATGGTAAACCATGAATCATGGAAAACATTCCTAATTTTATTTATATAATTATAAAATCGATCTTAGTTTTTTCGCGACTTTCGCGACACTGCCAACGATTTGAAGAATCTATATGGCGACAAAAAAAAAAAAAAAAAAAAACGAAAGAATGATGAAATTATATAACGTGTTATAGAGTTAGGCAGAACAAACAGAAACGTGATTGCATTATTAAGGGAACCATTAAACATCCTCTCCCAATTAAAAAAATTAGGGAAGAATATAGAAACAAATCACCTATGGACTGCCATAACTGGAAAGTTACCGGATTACCTCGTAAGCAATCTGATAAGAGAGAAGTTAAGGAAACCTGAATGGACGATGCAGGACACCATATTCTTGAAAGAATATGTAAAGGTTTCAGAAGTTCTAAAAGTCAATAACAAGAATGCATCAAATGAAGAGAATATAAGGCATCTATCGATAAGGTTGCTGTTGGATTGCTAAAATCAAAGTTACATTCAAGTAAAATTTCCAGTAAACACTAATATACCAGACAGAACGGATTTCCAATGAAGCACCGTCACATGATTTAATTATTGCTGAAGTCGACGTTTCATTCTTGAATCGGAATTGTCGATTTATGGTAGATCGAGTTGATTTCCTTTCGGCTTTATTAGAAGATTGATTTTGAGTTGCGGCTTTCTTCAACTTCTTTAACTCTCTGAAGAACTGTCTCAATTTGCTCACTGATCGAGACCTATTAGTGTTTACTCATAGACTTTGAATTTCTTCCGATAATTACTTATAAGCTTATATGTTCTAGATTCTTCTCCAACTTTTGTAGTCGTCTGAATAAGTTTTCTATTTTCGACCGTTATTTTCCATTGACGATCTTTTTTTCCGACTGAGGAAAATCGTTGGAAAAAAGACTTGTAATAGTATGCGTATTGCTGTACTTCATTATCAATTCCTCTTGAAAAAGATTGTAATCCTTTGGAGCGATCTCGTATCCACCAACTGCTTGTATCGGGAAAACCGAAGGAAATGTTAGTACGTCCAAACAGCTAAAGAATTTGTTGTAACATTTCTGTTATAAAGACTCATCACATTATACAAACAAACAATATATGTAACGTTTACTATATCTAAAACGATGAGTGTGTTATCTAAGACCAATCGGTAAAAATATCTTTTCCTTTGATGTCGAGATGATGAGGCGATTTTCTCTTCTTACAAAGAAATCTAATCCTTTATGTGTTTCTTGCATCAGTGAAATTATTGTCGGCTTTGTAAAAACCTTAAATGGAGCTATTATCTTATCTTAAGCCCAACTCATTTGGGGGCAATACAAAAATCCCAATAAACACATTCTAGCATGCATTGATTCGATTTTCAAAAATATCTCTTCTGTGTCGAAGACCAAAAACGCCTACTTCTCGTACAAAACGTCTGCTTCGTCTCGTACAACTTGACCTTTGACTGATGGTTTAAATAGATTGTAACTCCCAATTCCATCTCCTAATTTTACTACCAAATAACATTGTTTTATTACAATTAGCTATTCTTCTACTACTGAATAAATCTTTTTCCCATCCAACACATACAAACAAAAGTCTTTCACTACATACAGCTTGTAGTGCTTCATCTCGTAAGCAGGAAATAAGATAATTGAGCTTCTGGATGTCCGGAAGGTCGTAGTTATACCGCTGCTTCAAAGCCACTTCAGAATGCTCTCCAGTTTCGAGGATTTCCACCAACAAGCTCTGAGACGAGCTATAGGTAGAAAACTCCTAAAAGAAGGAGAATTCATAACATTGATAGTTGAGATCGAAGCGCTACTTAATACCCGTCCGTTAACTTACGTTGGTTTTGATGATTATCGAGTCATTCGTCCGATTTTATATCCCCTACATCCTCATTCGGAATACCCATCGTATCAGAGGATGAGGAAGATGAGTATGTTTTTCATCCAATAAAGACAAAGGACAAACTTGTCGAATATTGGAATAATACTCTTAAGACATTGGACGTGTTTTGGAAAGTTTGGAGAGACGAATATCTAACAAGTCTCAGGGAAAGAACACAAAGGGAAGTAGTTTCTCCCAGATTAGTCGAAAATAGAGAGCCACGTGAAAACGAAATTGTCTTATTAGCTGAACCAAACATCCCGAGAGGTATTATTCGAAGAGCAACAGTACAATTGCCAAATGGAAGACAAGTAGAACGTTCCGTAAACCAATTATGCCCCATGGAAGTAAACGAAACCTGCGAATTAGATGAAACTGAATCAGAAAGATCAATTACTAGCAGAATCCAAGAAGTTATTGACTCATCAACCAATTATAATAAGGCAAAGGGAAAGGAAATTGAGGTAACTGATGGCCCTATCGCTAGTCGAACTGGAAAGGCTCAACAACAATCGACT